CGGTATCCTGGGAGATCCTCGTTGTTGGTATTGACATTGAGTTGTTTTACTCTGTGTTATCTTATTCTCTGAGTGTTAAATTGTTGCCTTGTATAACCTGTCTTACTTCATAGCTGTACTCATTACTACCGTTTATTTCATGCTGGTGCAAGATTTATTATTATGCCTATTCTCAGTAGGGCCCTGACCTTCCTCGTCACTACCCAACCGAGGTTAGGCTTGGCACTTATTGAGTACCGTTGTGGTGTACTCATGCCCCTTCTGCGCATGTTTTTCATGTGCAGATCCAGGTACTTCATCTCAGGCGTATCACTCTCGAGGCAGAGAGATATAGCAGAGACTTCGAGGTACATCTGCCGCGTCCGCAGACCAGGAGTCTCTATCTTATTCTAGCTTTAGCAGTTAGCTTTTCCTTTCGTACTTTTGCTTTAGACATTCTGGAGTTAGAGCCGTGTATTACTTTCCGTTAGCTTGTGTTCCCGTGAGTTTCCGGGTTTTGGGGTAATATTGTAGACTTCCGTATTATTGAGTTGTATATGCCGAGCGCCATTCATATATAGTTTTCTTTTAGTTGTTCAGTTTTAATTAATTATTCCGCAAACTATGTTGTTTTTCGCATTGTTAGGCTTACCTAGTTATAGGGACTAGGTGCCATCACGACATGTTCTCGGAGGGCGAACTGCGGTCGTGACAGTCACCAGTGTTTCCTGCAAAATTAACTGAAGGAAATGCATTTCCTTTCTTCTTATGTTTAAAATCAGCAGGGTAACCAACTAGTTTGAAGCAATTCTCTCTGGTATGCCCCTCGTACTTGCAGTAGTCACAAACTACGTTAAAGTTCTTCTTTGGCCTTTGTTGAAAACCACCTCTAGCAGACATCAAAGCAGTGAGATCAGAATTCTCTACAGGACTTGTGTATGCAATTGCCCTGTGGCTTTCCCTCTCCATCATCATAGAGTAGGCCTTGTTAACAGAGGGAGCTGGTGTCATCATGAGCATTTGGCTTCTAGCTTGTTAGCCCCATAAGAAACTGTAGGAGTTTCAGCCGTTCCATAAACACAATGAATTCACGTGATTTCTCACAGTCACATCCAGGAATTGGAGCTAGACTATCAAACTCTGCCCACAGCTGTCTCAATTTTGAGAAATAAGAGGAGATCGAGCTAGTACCTTGATTAATTGTGGCAATGTTCTTATGGATCTGAAAATTTCTGGAGAGATCAGCTTTATCAAACCTCTCTTTTAGATCATTCCACACAGCACTCGCATTTGAGGAGTAAACAATTCCACTGAGCAACTCGGGTGATACACAGTTCATTATCTATGACAGCACTATGGCGTTGCATCTATCCCTTAAATCTACTAGATTTGGACCAAACTTTCCTCGTCTGCATGTACCGTCGATGAACCCTAACTTGTTCCGCCCTAAAATAGCAATTCGCATTGCCCGGCTCCACACTGAGTAGTTTTCTGGACCTCGCAATTGTAGCGAGATCAGGATTGCACCAGAATTGTCATTTGAATTCAAAAATAGAGGTTGATTGTGACCTAACTTCTCAGGAGCTTCATTGTCAACTTCCACCATTGTTTAGCTTCAACTATAGAAGTAGAGCTTGTGTAAATGAAGCAATTGAGCTTGAATTAAGCAATCACACCGAAGATTTGGGATCTAGATTTGAGCAGTAGGCTCTGATACCATGTCAAGTTTATCAAGGTAAAGAGAGATTGAAGAAGAAGCACGAGCAGAAGAAAACTTGGAGAGAAAAATAACTTCTTCTCATTTCTTCTGTATCTGTTAACACTATACATAGTCATGTATATATACAGTATTCTAACTAACATCTCCTAACTAACTAGTTTTACATAAATAGCCATAGCCACTACATTTACTAACTAGCCATTTATCACAAATATAACCACTATCAGCTTATACTCTCAACATGTGTGTTATAAATATTATTTTATTTATGGTGAATGTCTATATTTTAGATAGATTTTAGGGTTTGTTACTTGGTGGCTAAGTTTTCTATAAATAGAGATGCTATATTCTATTGTAAATCATCCCAAATCAATAAGATTTCTCTCTCTACTTTTCTTTTTAATACTCTTCTTCTTCTCTTATTATTTTATTACACGTTATCAGCACGAGACTCCAACCAATTGAGTAGAGGCTTTGGGATACATGTGATAGTAGCCTATATTATGCGATGTAGATGCTATTATGCTCTAAATTAACCATACTTTATTGAGTTTTTTAAGTGGCTAAATGATACCAAATACTCTAATTGAGTTTTTTTATGCTTTACAGGAGCTACTCCGAGTTAGGAGAAGGATATAGAGCGTTTTGGGGTAAAAAATAAAGATACAAGGCAAATCGAGAAGAGCCCGGATGAAAATGAGCAAGAAAAGGCGAAGAAAACTGGGCAATAGTCCACCGCGACCGCGGTCGGGCCGGCTGGAACACGGTGAAAGAAAGGCGAAAAACTGAATAGTCGAAAACGACCACGGTCGGACCGCGGTTGGCCCGCGACCGCGGTCGATCTGGAGAAGGCCAAGAAAATTTAAGGGCTAAAGTGTAAAGCATGGGAAACTTATCCTAACCCTATATAAACTCAACAAACTCGCCCAAGTCAAGGTTAAGCTTGTTTTTAGACTCAATTGGAGGCAAGAACAAGTGTGAGAAGATCAAGACACCATTAGAGTTTTTCATTCTTCTTCTTGTTATCATTATTTTGTGAATTATGAATGATTTTATGGTTTTATCTTGTTTTGCCATGAGTAGCTAAACATTTAATCTAGGGTTGATGGAACTGGCTGTTAGATGAAGTTTTGACTCAGTTTTGTTATAATCGAGCCGGGTTTATTATATGATTGTTCAACTATATTTTGTATGGTGATTAATTGAATGGGCCCTTGATTAATCGTGTCTAATCGCCTTGTGTTGCTTGAGAAAGAATACTAGGTTAGATTGTTGTTGAACAGCACCATTGGATAATTGAAGAGATTCATTACTTAAATTTAAAAGTGGGATTAGGAATAACGAAACTTTGGTGGGATAATTCAGAGCTGCATATATTATCAGCTAGAGTAGTTCGAGAGAATGCTCTGGTAAATTGTCGTAGTTGAGCGAGAGATAATTGTGGTAGTCCATAGCTCATAATCCTCATAGAGTATTACAGCAAGATTATAACAAATAGTTAAGAATTAATCTAGCAATTGGGGAAGTCAATACCCTAGATCTTTTTACCATTGAATTACCTTTAATTTGGAATATTGTTAGATTTACTATCATTTTACTTTAGTTAAACAAGTCCCAATATTTATTGATAAAAATCTTACATCCGGGAATTGGTTGAGCTGATACTAGCATGACTAAAAGTTGTAATAGATAGGTTAGTTCCCTGAGGATTCGGCTCCGGACTTGTAAACCGGATTATATTTGCGACGACCGCTTTGTCTTTTATAAGGCATAGTTGGGCGTTATCAAATTTTGGCATCGTTGCCGGGGAACTAACAGTGTTATTTATTATAATTTAGAAGCAGTGCTAGAATTATTAGTTTAGATCAATTTTCTACGGTGTTAAATAATTTTTCATTGAAATTCTCACGTTTGAACTCTTGTGTGATTCAGGTGTATGCCTAGAGATTCTTCGAGGACTGGTGAACTGCTTGAAGGACTCTCAGACCACGAGAAAATATTCAGGGCATTAAACCGTGCCAACAAGAAGAACAAACAATCACAACAAACACACCAACTCGCAACTGAAATGGACAACAGGGAAAACATCAATGCAAATAATCGGGAACCTCTTGTGCCAGACGAAGCGGTGCCAAAAGAAGCAGTGGTGGCACCTCTTGTGCCAGAAGCTGCACTTTATGATTAGGCACAACCAACAGCTGATAACCTGGCCACCGCCATTGCTGTGCCCCAAATACAAGCGGAGACATTCCAAATCACCGACAACATGCTGCATCTTCTGTAGAATAAGGGATTGTTCTCCGGGTCACACATTGAAGACCCTCAACAACACCTAAAAAATTTTCTGTCAATTTGTATGACCCAAAGGCAGCCAAATGTGACCCTAGAAGCCATCAAGTTGTTACTGTTCCCGTTCTCGGTGACTGGGGAAGCTCAGACTTGGCTGAATTCGCTCCCAATAAATTCCATTGCCACTTGGGAGGAATTAGTCAAGCAGTTCCTGAACAAGTTTTACCTGCCCAACAAGACTTCAAGACAGATTGATGAGATATTAGAGTACAAGCAGAAGCCCACTGAGACCTTGCAGAAAACATGGGAAGGATTCAAAGGGATGCTAGTGAAGTGTCCCCACCATGGTATACCAGACTAGATGCTCGGCCAGAGATTCTACATGGGGTTGGCATACAATTTAAAAGCAAATGTAGATGCTTCAGCTGGGGGTGCATTCTTGAGCAAAACTTCCACAGAGTGCAAGCTTCTTCTTGACAAGATGTCTCAAAATTCGAGCTGGATGACGAGAGACACAACACTCACTCCAATAGTGCATTCTGTCACTCTTGACCCAAACAATACACATGCAGAAACCATAGCCACTCTTATGACCCAGATGAGCTTGATGACAAAGAAAATTGATGAGATGGGTACAAAGCAAGTGCATATCATTGACACAACAAATGGAGGACTGTGTACACCTTGAATTAATCAGTCTTATGTGTGTTCATGGAGTGGAGAAGGTGACAACCAAGGGTTAAAAGAGGTTATGAATTATGTCAACAATTTTGGGGGTCAGAGGCATGGAGGACAACAATGGGTACCAGCACCCAACCAGCAGTACAGACTGAACATGCCACAACCTGGAGGTATGCGGCCCCAAGGCCAAATGGTGCCATACTAGAGACAACAGGGCTATCAACAGCAGCACCAGCAACAATTCACATATCAGCTACCTCATCAGCAACAAGACAGCAACATGGTAGAAATCAGGGGTATGCTGCAACAACTCATTGGAACAAATGGTAAGATGCAGGAAAAGTTGCCAGTGCATGACTTAGCAATTAAGGGTATTGAAACTCAACTGGGGCAGCTGTCCATGGCCTTAAATAACCGCCCCCAGGGAACATTTCTAGCCGACATGAACATTAACCCTAAGGAGCAAAACCTGAATCAGCTGATGGTAGTAAGTCTCCGGAATGGGAGAGATTTAGACAGGGAGCAAGAAGTTGGTCAATCCAGAAGAGAGACTACACCAGCCACTCCAGTTCCATTAGAGATAGATGAATCAGCAGAACTCACTGAAGTGGTAGTTGAACAGGCTCAGGTTGATAAGGGTAAGGCTAAAGAAAGTGAACAAGTTGTAAAACAAGTGGTACCTCTTGCGCCACAAAAGTCCAACAAAGAACAACCAGCAAGCAATGGACAAAGAGTGATGCCTGCATCATTCCCTCAGAGACTGGCAAAACAAAAGAAAGAAGATTATTACAGGAAATTCATGGAGATGCTTCGTCAGATTCAATTGAAAATCCCTCTGATGGATGCTTTGAGGGAAATGCCAGGCTATGCAAAAATGATGAAGGACCTGATGTCACAAAAATTTGACTTTTAAGACCTGTCCACAGTAACTCTTACACAGACATGCAGCGCAGTAGTGACAAGACCCATGGCTTAAAAGATGTCTGATCCAGGTAGCTTCAGTATTCCGTGCACTATCGGGAGTTATGCTTTTGCAAAAGCATTGTGTGACTTAGGAGCCAGCATAAACTTAATGCCTTTGGCAATATATACAAAACTGGGCATTGGTAGAGCTAGACCGACTTCGATGCTGTTGCAAATAGCTAACCGCACGGTTAAAAGACCGACGGGGATTCTTGATGATGTGCCGGTACAAGTGGGAAAGTTTGTATTCCCTGCAGACTTTGTTATTCTGGACTGCCAGGTAGATGAGGAGATACCCATCATTCTGGGGAGGCCATTCTTAGCCACTGGGTGAGTATTGATTGATTGTGAAACTGGGGAATTAAAAATGAGGTTGAATGATGAAGAAGTAATATTCAACGTTCAACAATCCATGAGGAGACCCAGTGAATATACAAATTGCTCACTAGTGGAAGCTGTGGATGTGATCCTGTATGAAGAAGATAAGACCCTGAATGCCAAAGATCCATTGGGAGCTTGCTTGACAAATTTAGAGGAGATGGATGGTGAAGGGTTGGCAGAGTGGGTCATGGTACTCGAAGGCCAAGGATTCTGGAAGAGGGAACCTCAGTTCGAGCCCCTTATTTTCGAAGAGAGAGCTACACCACATGCAAAACCATCAATAGAGGAACCACCACAGCTGGAGCTGAAACCGCTTCCAGCCCACCTCAGGTATGCTTTCTTGGGTCCCAATTCTACTTTGCCTGTTATTATATCATCTGGTTTGCTAGCTGTACAGGTAGAACAATTACTGCAGGTGTTGCAAGAATGCAAAACTGCCATTGGTTGGACCATGGCAGACATAGAGGGTATCAGCCCGGCCTTCTGCATGCACAAGATTCGTCTGGAAGAAGGGCACAAACCTTCCAGGGAACATCAATGAAGGCTACCCGAATATGAAAGAGGTAGTGAAAAAGGAGGTAATCAAGTGGTTGGACGCGGGCATCATCTTTCCCATCTCTAACAGCAATTGGGTAAGCCCCGTCCAACGTGTACCGAAAAAGGGTAGAATGACAGTCGTACAAAATGAGAAGAATGAGTTGATCTCGACTCGTACAGTCACAGGGTGGAGGATTTGCATGGATTACAGGAAATTAAATGCAGCCACCCGAAAGGACCATTTCCCCTTACCCTTCATTGACCAGATGTTGGACAGGTTAGCTGGGCGATCCCATTTTTGTTTCTTGGACGGATACTTGGGCTACAATCAGATCTCAATAGCCCCGGAAGATAGAGAGAAAACGTCCTTCACATGTCCGTATGGCATCTTTGCCTTTTGGAGGATGCCCTTTGGACTTTGCAATGCACCGGCCACATTCCAGCGGTGTATGTTATCCATTTTTACCGACATGGTCGAAGAGATTATGGAGGTTTTTATGGATGATTTCTCCGTGGTAGGGGATTCATTCGAAGATTGTCTTCACAACCTTAAAAGAGTGCTCAAACGATGTGTGGAGACAAATTTGGTGCTGAACTGGGAGAAGTGCCATTTTATGGTACAAGAAGGCATAGTGTTGGGGCATAGAGTGTCCAAAAAGGGGATTGAAGTAGACCATGCAAAAGTTGATGTGATTGAGAAGCTCTCAGCACCCACTTCAGTGAAAGCAGTGAGAAGTTTCCTTGGGCACGCCGGATTCTACAGGTGGTTCATCAAGAATTTTTCAAAAATTGCTAACCCCTTATGTAAGCTGCTTGAAAAAGACCAGCACTTTATGTTTTCTGATGATCGCAGGTTTGCATTTGAGGAGCTGAAGAAGAGATTGGTGACTGCACCCACCATTGTTGCACCCAACTGGGAGCAACCATTCGAGCTGATGTGCGACGCCAGTGATTACGCTATATGAGCGGTTTTGGGGCAGCGCAAGGAGAAAATTATGCACCCAATTTACTATGCAAGCAGGATGCTTAGTGGTGCACAGCTAAACTACACGGTCACGGAAAAGGAAATGCTCGCTATAGTGTTTGCCTTCGACAAATTCAGGTCATACCTGATTGGCTCGAAAGTTATTGTTTATACTGACCATGCAACCATTAGGTACTTGATAGCAAAGAAGGAGTCAAAGCCCCACTTGATTCGCTGGGTTGTGTTTCTACAAGAATTTGACCTGGAGATTCGTGATCGAAAGGGGACAGACAACCAAGTAGCAGACCATCTCTCGAGGTAGGAAGGGGTAGAAAAGAGAACGGAGGTTGAAGATATCATTGAGACATTCCCGGATGAACAATTACTTGCTGTGACAATGGAGGAGGCACCATGGTATGCTGATATTGCTAATTACTTAGCATGTGGTATTGTACCTCATGATCTCTCCTCAATTCAAATGAAAAAAATTTTCTGTGATTGTCGGGCGTATTATTGGGACGAACCTCTATTGGTCAAAATATGTGTTGATAACATGATCCGACGGTGTATCCCCGAGCAAGATCAACCCTCTGTTTTGCAGGCTTGCCATGCTTCGCCATATGGTGGACACTTTGGAGGAATTCGCACAGCAGAAAAGGTGTTGGAATCAGGCCTGTATTGGCCTACATTGTTCAAGGATGCCCATGCTTGGGTCAAAAGCTGTGATGAATGTCAAAGGACGGGCAACATATCCCGTCGTCATGAGATGCCAATGACCACAATCCAAGAGGTAGAAGTGTTTGACATGTAGGGGGATCGACTTCATGGGGCCTTTCGTCAGCTCATACGGTAACACGTATATACTGGTTGCCGTTGACTATGTCTCCAAGTGGGNTCCAGCCCATTCGTCTTCAGATGGGCCAGAGAGGCGGGTAGTGAGTATTACGTTTTCAGGAGGCGGCCAATGTGGCCCGGAGGATCGAGAAAGTTCTGCCACAGGGGGGTGGTCATAGGTCAGACAAGAGACCCCGTCACTCAGGTCGATTCAGTGGTGCCTCATCTGGAGGCAGGGATTCTTATGATAGGGGTCAGTCTTCCAGGCCCTTTCAGTCAGCCCTCCAGGCTTCACAGGGTGTTCCAGGCGATCGTGGTTCTCGTGGGCAGTATTCTGGTCAGCAGCCCATCAGTGCACAGCCTCTTCAAAGTTTTTGTGGAGGTCATTCGGGTCGTCAGGGCCAGTCTCATCGTACAGAGGGATGTTATGAGTGTGGCGAGTATGGTCACATCAGGAGAGCTTGCCTGAGATTGAGGGGTACACAGTCACAGCAGCAGGGTCCTCGCCCCATGATTCAGGCACCAGGTGACCCACAGCCTGCCCAGCCAGCCAGGGGCAGGTGTAATCATAGAGGTGGAGGTCGAGACCCTAGAGGTGGAGGCCGGACCGCCAGAGGTAGGGGTCAGCCGGTAGCCGATCGTCCCAGAGACATGGTTCAGGGAGGTTGGGCTGACCCCCGGTTTTATGCTTTACCAGCCAGACCAGAGGCCAAGTCATCAGATGCCGTTATTACGGGTACCATTCTGGTCTGTGATAGAGATGCGTCAGTGCTATTTGACCCTGGGTCTATATATTCATATGTATCGTCTTATTTTGCACCCTGCCTGGCTATGTCTAGTTATGCTTTGGACATTCCTATTTATGTATCTACACCGGTGGGTGACTCTATAGTAGTCGACCGGGTGCATCGTTCCTGTGTGGTTGTGTTTGAGGGTCTTGAGACCCGTGTTGATTTACTGCTTTTAGATATGGTGGATTTCGACGTTATATTGGGGATGGATTGGTTGTCCCCGTATCATGCTATCTTAGATTGTCACGCCAAGACCGTGACCTTGGCTTTGCCAGAATTGCCCCGACTAGAGTGGAGAGGGACTTCAGGTCATGCCACTCGCAGTGTTATCACCTATGTCAAGGCTCGACGCATGGTCGAGAAGGGGTGTTTAGCTTATCTCGCATATGTTCGCGACTCCAGCGCAGAGGTTCCTTCTATTGACTTTGTTCCTATTGTTCGAGAGTTCCCTGAGGTTTTCCCTTCAGACCTGTCGGGCATGCCGCCCGACAGGGATATTGATTTCTGTATTGATCTGGCTCCGGGCACGCAACCCATTTCTATTCTGCCGTATCGCATAGCCCCGCCAGAGTTGAAGGAGTTAAAGAACCGGTTGTAGGAATTACNGCATTGCGGCAGCTGAACTTAAACATGGAGACAGCGGGCACTAATAGAGTTAATGGGTTGCATGAGCTTGAGGAATTCCGGTTCGAGGCATTCGAGAGTGCTAGACTATATAAAGAAAGGATGAAACTGATGCATGACAAGCACATCTTGAATCGGAACTTCAAACCCGGAGAATTAGTGCTGCTATATAACTCAAGATTGAGGTTGTTCCTAGGTAAGTTAAAGTCGCGATGGTCAGACCGTTTGGAGTGGTGCAATTGTTCCCAAGTGGAGCTGTGGAGATCAAATCTGAAGATGGGACGAACAAATTCACAGTGAATGGGCAGAGGTTGAAACATTACCTTGGAATGACTGAAGAAAAAGGGGATAGCGTAGTGATAACATTGGAGGAGCCCCAATACACAAATGAGGAGTGATGACATGAGCCTGCATCGTGCCGCGACGTTAAATCAGGCGCTGCGTGGGAGGCAACCCATGTTTTCTTTTGTTTCTCTTTTTGTTTTGATGTTGTACTTGATGTATATGATACTAACCCTTTTTTTAGTGTACCGGGCAAGATTAGTGCATAGTGGGAGAAGTCGGGGTCTAGAACCAACTCTGGAAAGGTAAAGATCGCGGCAATTTGGACATATTCTGTCTCTACCGCGACCGCGGTGGGACCGCGGCACGAGCGCGGCGAATTGCAACTATTCTGTTTTGCTTTTCTTTTTTCACCGCGACCGCGGTCGGACCGCGACCCGGGCGTGGTGAACTGCAACTATTCTGCCCGCCCAGGTAAGTTTAATTAATTTTGTTGTTTTATTTATTTTTTTTTATTTTTTTATTTCTTTCTCTTCCTTCTTTTTTTCTTCTAAACCTAACCGCACCCCCCTCAGTTCTCCCACTCCTCATTTTCACGCTAAACCCCTAACCTCACGCCCCTTCTTCTTCTTCTCTTCCCATCTCTCAGAAACCCATTTCTCCCCCCCCCCCACACTTCCGACTCCTTCCTCCCCAACCTCCATTATACTCCAACTTTACAAGAACCAGGTATGTCATGATTTCCTTCTCTCTTCTTCTCCCCTTCTCTTTTGCAATTTTTAATGTTTGAGTTGTTGTAGTATCTATAGTTAAATTTTTAGTTTTCTTTTCTTCTTTTTAGTGGGTAATGTGTAGAATGTAGTAGAGCAGGGCATGGTGTTGTTGTTTGAAGTTATTTGTGGTGGGTGGAGTTGTGAAGTG